CTATCTTGCCTTTGATGAATGATTGAATTTTGATGTCAGTAACTAAAGAGGATATTCCCCACTTCATGCTCAGAGGAAATGAGTAAGAAAAGCCCAACTGTGAAGTTGGAGCTCTTTGTTTTTTTCCTGTAGATAAAAGACATTGAAAAAGCAAACCCCACAGAACGTTCTATAAATGGGGAACATTATGTAGGTGCAACTTCATTTACATGACTTTGAACAGAAATTTTACACTGCATTACAAGTAAGAACACGTAATTCACCATGAAGGAGATTTTTATCCCATTTATTATTCCACTGATTCTTAATAGGAGAATAGTGTTAAAGTAGATTTATATATTTAGAAACTAAACCAAACTCCGGAGCTAACAGGAGAAAGTGATGTTATAAAACCCAGAGTAAAATGTAAGGTCAGCAAAGAGAACTGGTGGAAACTATTCTTTAGAACTTCAGAAAACACATCACGTTTCATTAAAAAGCAAGTGGAGTTAACAGAATCTACTTCAGGCTCCTCGTTTGGTATCAAACATCTCAACTGGCTTTGAGGAAGACAGGCATATATTCAAACTGCCTTGCAGTGTGCTAAGGTGACATTTAGATATGCAAGCTCGGTGCTGAAGCCAACTAATGCTCCATTGTTACAGGAAGTCAGTGAAGTAATTATGTAATGCCACTGACTAATGTAAGGTGTCCTGAAAGCAAGAAGGGGTGGGTTTCCTATCAATCTGGATCCAATTTTCTTCATTAAATAAAAAAATAAGAAGAAATCCAGCCTTCTCTGTCCAGGGAACTCTATAACTACTTCATGTGCTCCAAGTCTCATAACAGGCCTGGGGGATTTCTTAGCATCTTATTGCATTTCTTTATACCTTTCCCAGCACAGCAGTTCAGGCCTTGAGAATGTAGTAATAACACAAAGCATTTGAAAATGGGAGCAAGAGGAAGGAAGACAGAAATCTGCTTTCCAACGTACAACCATCTGTACACTCCCTCAGATAAACAACTACTCGGAGACTGCACCTTCCCATACATATTCTATTGGAAACTAGGAGCCAAAACTTGCTAGACTGCCCCAGCACCAGGCAAAGAGCAGGATCACCTGTGATTTGTTTTGTTTAACTGAGCCCTCCTGCCATTACCTCACACACAAAGCTCTCTGAAAAAAAGAGTATTAAGCTAAAGTTAAGTGAGTTTCCATTGCAAAACAAGATGCAGATGTTCCACCTCTGAATACATGCCCGGATCAAGCACTTGTTATTCAATACGAAGCGCTGGGAATGCAGACTACAGACTGGTATAGAACGGTTCTGCTTCGTGGCCTTTGTACCTTGGTGAGGACAGCAGTCTCCCAAGAGTTTTCTGATGTCTCTGAGCTCATTAGTGAGAAAACAATAATATGAAAGCACTACTATTAAACTGGCCATTGTTGATAACTGGCAGCAAATGTTCAGTAGGAGGATATCAGATATATTCATGCTAAAAATCAACATCCAGATGACAAGTAGACAATTCTCTAATTATTTCTTCTTTTCTTTCTTACTACACTAAGTATCTTACAATAAATTGCTTGAAACAGTTGATCATGGCCAATGCAACTGTCATTTTCCCACTGGCAAAGACTGAACATTCTCATTTGAATGATTCAAATTTTTCTTTCACTGGAGAGGGAGGCAAAACTCAAATGGTCTTTTTTATGCAATTTGGTAAAAAAAACAACCACCATGTTGTTAACATTTTCCTCCAAAAGTATTAATCAGACTTGAGATTATCACAGGGCATCACCAGGAGCTCAAAACTAGCAATGATATTAAGAAAACACTTCAAAAGGACACCAACTAATGGTATGAAACAAACAACTCTAAGGGAAGGAAACTGATTTAATCTGTGATTCAAAATTCTGGACACCCTTTCAGAAAGCTCTCTCATCTCTGGTTCTAACCCTTTTGCTGGCTGTGGCTCTTTATTATATGAGTGTGAAGAACTTTCCATCATATTATAGAATCACAGGAGTGCTGAGCCTAGAAGACACCTCTGGCGACCATCTTAGTCCAAACCTCCTGCTCAAAGCCAAGCTCAACTAGGACAGGTTGCTCAGGGCCATTTCCAGTCAGGTTGTGACCATCTCCAAAGGTGGAGATTCTAGAACCCCTTTAGGCAACCTGTGCCAGGGTTAGACTAACCTCACAGCGTTGAGGTAACTTCACCTAAGGTTGAAGGCAAACTTCAGTTAAGGTTCCGTATTAACAAGGCAGTCAGCTCCATCTGCCACATGCCATTATTTCTCAACAGCTAAGGAGAACTTCCAGATCAACTATTTCCACCACCCTCGACAAAAGGACACTCTTCTGTCCATAGGGCAGATAAACAGCACTCTGTCAATAAAGGTCCCCACAGTCAATGGAGCACGATCATGAACGACACTACTTAGAACAGAATGAAGGCACAGCTGAGGTTTCTTGCACCTACCAGTCAAGGAAGACTCACCAAGGGCTGGCATTAACCCAGTAACCTGAAGCTTACACATAACAAATTGCTATCCATAACTCTTGCTGGGCAAGAAAAAGCATGGCTTGTCATGGGACACAGATTACATTCTTCTTCTCCATGCTGAACCAAAGGGCTGCCAAATGCACATGATGGAAGAACCTTTCCACCTTCTTACATACCAATGTATCTCTTATCCATAAGCTGCAGCTATAAATCAACCGCATACAGTTCCAGTGGCTTGTGGCAGAGGTGAAAGATTAAAACCGCTAGTACACCTCCTAAACTGAGGTGCCAGTTATCTCAATAAGCAAAAGCAAATGTTTGGAGAGAAAATCTAAAGGAATAGGGAGCCCATCTCATTTACTTCTCATGGCATACAGGCCCATAATTCTTTCCTCTGAAATTTCAAACCTATTTTCTCATCATACAACGTATTTGCATCCTATCCTACATCTGCAAAAGTACTTTTCAGGAAGACATCTATTTATAAGTAGTTCAAGTATGACCTTCAATTAATTGAGTTTGAAAGGGTGCTTTGTTGTCAGGACAGTTACTACAGCAGCAGCGTCTTTGAAAAGACAAGATCCATCTCTGCTGACACAACTCACTTCTAAAATAAATACTATGGCAGAGGTATGGAAGATGTGTAGGCATCTCCAAAACACTCTTCGAGTTCAGTGCAGATGTTGCCAGTGTTTATACTTTTTAAGCCACTGGGATATAAACACCTCACTATAAACACCACTGAAGTTTTGCTTTTCTTTTCTTCATTTTGTGTGTGTTTATTTTAGTGTTAAAAATGTTAACTTCCAGAATAAGGAAAATAGCAACAGATGTTCAAGCTAAACAAAGACTGTTACAGTAGAGTGTATTCCTTAAGCTGTTCCTTTGCCTTTGAGCTATTAAAGCTAAGATCCAGTTAAGTAACAATTATTGGAAAAGCGGGTAGGGGGAAAAAGCAACTGGAAAAAACCTCCCATAAATATTAGGCATAATTATAACGAATTGAACTAATGAGCCAAAACTACAGTTTTTCTGCCTTAGTCAACAAAACACTCAGGAATATGTACCATGTAAACAGAATTTTATGCAAAACTTCAAGGTTTACATCAATAGTTGTCAGCTGCTTCCAAAGAAAACACTGGTTACTGCAGAGAGCCATGAAAAAGTTAAAGGACCCTGAAAGTTGTTTTTCCTCTTCCTCTCCCCCTTTTTTAACTACTTTTCCTCTTGTAATGAAGAAAGCACAGAATAAGAAAGAGCTTGGAAATGGAACTCTATTGAATCGCAGCTCTGTATTATTCAGTACTAATGGGCAAGCTCAAGCTTTTGTAAAAGAGCTTTATTCAAGCAAATATATACATATTTGTGCAGGAAAGAAAAGGAAAAGGGAAAAAAATGGAACAGAGATGTTAACAGGGAGCCCCTGCACTTCCCAAAGGACAGCTATGTGGCCATGCTAGTTTAATGATGGAAAAGATGGTGTTTTGCAAAGCGAGGCTCAGCTCCCTGCCTTCCGGCCTAGCTCTTTCTGAAGGGTGTGAACAGATAGCTCCCAATCCTATGCACACCCCTTCTTGTTTCTTCCCTGACAACTACAGCAAGTTTGTTTTCCAGATGAACGCGGAAAATGTTCCTGCTGAATCAGAAGAAAGATTTCTGCAATGCTTGTGTGTGGCTACAGCAAAAACAGCCCTACTGCCAAGCTGAATTAGCTCAATGGTGCCTTTCTTTCCAGTCAAAGCCAAGCCATAACCACTTCTTCAAACTGCACGTAGATAAAACTCCACTCGAGTAAGAGTTTCACCCCGTTACCTCAAGCAACTTCCAAGGAGGGCTGTGAATGCTAACAAGAGGCAGAACGAACCTTAGCTGAAGACAACAGAAGTAAGATTCAGAGCGCAGGGAAGAGCAGAAAACCTGCGTTTTCCAACTAGTTGTGTAATTCTTTCCCCGGGGAGATGAGCGTGGGGCGGTTCGGGGGGGGGGGGGCGGAGGAGGGGCGGCCTCTCGCCGGGGCTCTGCGAGGCGTGCGGGGAAGGAGAAGCCGAACAATGGGCGGCTCTGTGCTGCCGCCGGCGCCTCGCCAGCCCCGGGCCCGGCCCGCGGGACCCGGCCGGGCCCCAGCGCCGGGCCTCGGGGCCCACCCGCCGCGGAACCGCCTCTGGCCCCAGAGCGGGCCCGGTGACGGGGATTGACGCCGGGTAACTCGCACCCGCCTGACAAAGTACTTCTGGTGCAGCTGCAGGCGCTGCCTGCCGGGGCAGCAGCGCGGCCGAACGGACCGTGTCTGCGAGAAAACGGGACCTGACAGTAAAAATGCTCTTTACGAACCCCTCCCTCCCCAAAAGAAGGCAGTTAAAAAGAACTAACCCCCCTTCTCCAAACCAAGCTTTAACAGCACAGACTGCGAGATGCCCCCGACCGCCCGCGATTCCCTTCCCAGAGCAGAAATCGCGCTTACGAACAGCACCCGCACCGACAAAAGGCGCTCCGCGGCGCGGAACCATTACCTTCGTAGCACAGAATGCCGATGTTGTTGTTCATCTTGTCCAAGTACTGGTAGTTCAACAGGTCCATCTTCATCAAGAGCATTTATCGTGCTGGCAGAACGGACCAGCGCGCTCGCTGCCGCCGGAGCTCGGGGAGGGGGCGGCCGGGACGCGCCCGGCTTGCAGCAGTACCAGCGCGGGGCGCAGCCTCCCGCGGACCGGCGCCGGGGGTGGGGTGAGGGGGGAGCGCGGAGGGGTTACAGCGCACACACGGTCCCTGCCGAGCTCCGGGGCACTACCACGGTCTGCGCGCTTCCATAGGGAGCGCGGGGAGGAGAGGCCCGGGAGGACGCCGAGGACAAAGGCGCGGTCCCGCCCGCGGCCCGCCGCGCGCTGACTGCCTGCCTGCCTGCGCGGACACGCGGGCTGCGCGCACCCCGCCACGCATGCGCAGAGCGCGCCGGGCGGCTGAGGGGAGGAGAGCGGCCTGCGCGGGGCAGAGGAGCAGGGGCCCGTCGGTCGGGGTGAAATGAGCGCTGCTGCGCGTTCACTTCATTTCCTGGCGTGGCCTCAGGCGAGGCCGGTGCTGGTGCAGTGAAAATAACCGTTTTACATGGCCGGAGCAGAGCAGCAGCTCCGGTGCGACAAAGACAACTAAAGCTGGAGAAATGAGGTGTGGGGGGCATGCACTGCACACACGTAGTGCCACAGGTCAGCCAGGACACAGGCACGGTGAAGTTATTAGAGCCAGTTAAACATCTTGCACTTCTAACAGCTGCTGAAGCTCCAGTTTCGAAGGCATCGGTGATGGGGAGTTCCTCCCTGTGAGGGTGCTGAGGCGCTGGCACAGGGTGCCCAGAGAAGCTGTGGCTGCCCCATCCCTGGCAGTGTTCAAGGCCAGGCTGGACACAGGGGCTTGGAGCAAGCTGCTCTAGGGGTTGGAGCTGGAGGAGCTTTGAGGTCCCTTCCAACACAAACCAGGCTGTGAATGTTGCAGGAGTTGCTCCCCCCTCAGATTGGGGCTGCCCTTCTGCAGCCCAGACCTCAGCCACAGAGGCTTATCGTAAGGGGCCAGAACACCGGCACAGGTAATAAGCATGTGCTCACTCGATGGGCATCAGTTTGCATTTCCTGTGGCTGATCAGCACCTGAAGTCTGAGTTGATAATAAAAGAGAAATGAATACTAGGAAGGTTCGGTGTAAGTAAGAAAGAGCAGAAAAGAAAAAGCTAAGCTAATGGTGTCCTGATCTTCTCCCTGCCTCCCTCTGCCCATTTGGCTCAGAACACATCCTACCCTACCGGGATGAGGAGTTCTAACAGGACACACAGGAGCAAAGACTCATTGAGAACCACAAACAAACTTCCATTTCCACCTGAGAATTTCTCCCCTCTGTTAGAAAAGGGGACTATCATAGAACAGAATCACAGAATAGTTTGGGTTACATTACAGAGGCAATTTGTGAAGCAACATTTTGTCAAGACATTGAGAAGTACTGTTTGAATGCTCTGGGTATTTCAGTGGGACCAGACAACTTGCCTTACACTGATAAACAGGAATAAAAAATTCATCTCCAGGGATGATTCCCTAGAACCCGAATAAGGTTTTTCCTCGCTTGCGATACAGAAAAGTAGTCCTACCCACATGCTTCAGTTGCAGGAGAAAGCCCAACAGAGCTGAATTCAACACAGCAGGCAACAAATCCCCTGACTGGAATTCTGCGCTGCTGGGAAGATGAAGGTCAAGATGAAGGCCTTTTATTGATTGTTTATATGCAACAAGGGCACTCTCCTAATTGAAAGTGCAGTTAATCTTTTGAGACTTCAACATGGTGTAAGAACTTATGGGTTCTCTTCACTAACAGTACATTACTTGGATGGTACTTAATAAAAAGGTTGCAGTTGCTTTTCTGCCTCACAAGGATTTGTCACCACAAAAGCTGCACCACACATCTCCAGCCCAAAGGAGTGTGTGCTGTTTTGTAGGAAGGGAAATGTTCTTTATTAAGGACATTATGATTTTTAAGCAGGGGGACTAGAAGTTTTATATAGCAGATCATGTTGTGCCTACTCAAAGATATTTTATGCTAATGCTTCAGATTTAATGAGCCATTTCATAAAGGCATCAAGAGAGGCCTAAGTCCTTTAGGATATAAACTGCAACAAACGTCCATACCTACAACATTAACAAAAGAGAGGCACGTTTCTTTCTTAAGTATGACAAAGCTTTTGGAGAAAAGTATTCCTGATACATTCAGTTTTTACTATAGACAGCTTCCATGTAATCACTTAATACAATACATTTAATAGATGCTTGGGAAGGATAAGAAGAGCTAAGAATTTTTTTTTTCCAATTTAAAATACTTGACTTTTTTTCTCCAGAAAACGCAGGTGATGAGGAAGAAATGAATATTCTAAACTTATTTAGAGCGGTGGTCTACAAGAGAGGGCTTGCACACAGTGTGTTAGCTACAGAAGGGCATTACAGTTCAAAGTCCAATGTGAATTCCCCTCTGTATTCAAAGATACATATTTCTCAGCTTGCCTGGAAAACCAAGGTTGGGGATTGCCTACAGCTCCCTGACTACTCAGTAGTGTTGGGCAGATGCTAATGAAGAAGTTAACTCTTCTGGTCTACAGGTTTTTAGAAAGCAGTGATCACTTTAATATGTGAATGAATGGCTTTCAGCAGTGCAGGACACACTGATAACATTGTCAGATGTTGTGTAATGAACTTAGATGCTTCAGATTAAATAATAATAAACTGGTAGCAAACCCTGGGAACTTTATGAATTTCTAAATTAAAATATCTATACTGAAAGGCAATGCCTAGTGGAAGAACAGGGGGAGAAATCACACAAGTAATGTATCTCAAGCATTCTAAGACAACAATCTATTCATAAGAAATCATTCTTCGAAAGAAAACAGCTACATTAACCAGCAGACATTAAATACTGACTTAAATATGGGTCACCCTAAAGTACTCTGTTCTTGACAGCAAAGAATTCCCAACTGTGTGATTCAGACTGCTGTCCATCAAACACTTCACCACTGTGAGATACCATTCACTGAACTGGAAGCAATAATTGATGCATCAGCAGGTTAAATGCAATATACATAGAAAAAACAGCTATTAACATCACTCTGGGGCCTGTGTTAGCTCACTCTATTCTACATATTGATAGTTGCAAACACAGTTACATGCTGTAGTATCTCTGCTTCATATTAGCTAGAATATTTCTTACAGGATTGCACACACTTTTCTTCTGTAAGGCAGATAAATACCATTATCTATGAACAAAATGTTTGAAACACTGAACTTTTAACACAACAGCATCCCCTAGAGGTAGCTGAAAAGCCACACGTGTCCTGGATCACTCTCGAGGTCACACTGAAGTACCTTGGATTTGATTCTCAGCATCCCATAAAGCAGATGGGATCAACCTCTTAAAGCTCTAACGCACTTTAATACAGAAAGCAAATTCAGTCTTCACACACAAATGTCTTATCACAGAAGTATTCCAAGGCAAGGAAAGCAAATGAGGAAAAAAACAACCAACCAACCAAACAAAAGGAAGTTCTAAAGGACAGGTCAATCACCACTGTCAAAACTAGGCAGCTAAATACATACTTTTGACAGGACAAAGGATAATGGGTTCAACTGTCAACAGGGGAGGTTCAGGTTAGGCCTTAGGCAGAAGCTCTTCCCTGTGAGGGTGCTGAAGTGCTGGCACAGGGTGCCCAGAGAAGCTGTGGCTGCCCCATCCCTGGCAGTGCTCAAGGCCAGGCTGTATGGGGCTTGGAGCAGCCTGCTCTAGTGGAAGGTGTCCCTACCCATGGCAGGGGTTGGAACTGGATGAGCTTTAAGGTCCCTCCAACCCAGACCACTCTGTTTTCAGCATGACACCAGTTGAGAATTGACACCATAAAAGAACAATGTTCAAGCCATTCACTTGGACACAGCTGACATTTCAACCTTGATCATCAGCAGGAGCTATTTCTACAGTGACCAATTTTGCAATGTAGAAAAAAAAAATCCAAAACAGTCTTTATAGAGGCGAGACACACTCTGATGTAGAACAACATCCAGTATTGCTCAGGACAACTCAATTTTTGAATGGACAGAAATATGTGTTGCAGCTCCCGAGGTCAGAGAGGTATTTATGATACACTGCCTTTTAGCTGATACCATTCTCCAAGGATGAGGTGGAGGAATAAAGCAGGAGTACTTAGCTACAGGTTTTACTACTTTTCTTCAGCCAAAACATGAGCAAACTGTAGTTAACGGCTGCTAGGTGGCGATGTGCCTGAAGGGAAAACACTGCTGTTGGTTTTCCACACACCCAACTGCACAATTGCCACACTTAACCACCTCGGCTTTTATTACTTCAGTTAGAATACATTTCATAGCTAAAAAGTAAAGGAAAAGTCTCATTTAATCAAGATGGGGTGTTTGCTTTTAAATACGTTCAGATATAGTAAAGAATACAGTTAAAATGTATTAAATGCACAGGATGCTCAGAGGTGCATGATACGGAAAATGACATTTCTAGTTTCTTACAAGCAGCCATCTCAAGATCTTTGATCACAAACTACCTTCTCTTTTTCACAGCCCTAGAAAACAAATCAATAAAAGCAATCCCTACCAGGAAGAACATCTCTGAATGAAAACCAGTGCATTCCTTCTTGTTTTACCAGCCCTCTATTAGACAAAGGTTTCAACAGTATGCCAGACATTATAGAACATGAACATATTTTTATTATTACCAGTGGACTTCCTTAGGCCTGATATTAAGTTGTAGCAAAAGAATTTGCATGGTCTCTTTCATTCTTGTCATACCCTAACTTAGGCAATCCTGCTTAGAAAACAGTCATATCTAGCAAGGAAATCTGTTTGTGAGTGTGCATGTGTACTTGTCTGCATCCATCATAAGCCACTGAGTCACTCAAGATACGAAGCTCTCTACTGCCTGAAGGACCGAGCCAGCAGACATCCTGCTCTCAGCGCCCTGCTGGCCTAGTAAGAATAGAACTGCCACGGAAAGAAAAAACACAGTGATGACCAAAACTATCTTGAGTTGCAAGCCTCTTAAGACTGGCTTGTCTGCACTGGGGGCTGGATGTTTTTACATGTTTAGCTGTCCTGCGGTTCTTATTCTCTATTAGTCACTTTTTTGAAGACATTTAAAAAAATGTATTTCCCTTGTGAATGTAAATACAAAATTCAGCTCACTTATTTGTAAAGATTTAGCCATTTAGAAGCAGCCCTTTCACGCCAGATCAAAAACCTCCAAGACATTTATCAATT